AGAACAAACTACACTACAGTTGCCAATTCTTTTAAGAGAAAATGCTAACAGTAATTGTAACTCCTTAATGAAATATATAAGCTTACTAGTCACTTATGCAAGATGTACTTTAGATAAAATATAGTTATTAATAAGGATAAGATGCTCTAAGAATGTGTGTATTCAACTTTGTTTAGTAATATTAAGAATTAAGAACTCAAGTATTTAACCTTATTTAGAAACTCCCTTGGTTTTCCCCCTGGAGTACTGGCCAGGCTCCAGGTGGAATCCAACAGGAGGATGAAGTCAGATGTTTCCGCTCAAAGGAAGTTGCCAGTTATTTTGGCCTGTTGCTTTAAGGGCTGGACCTGGTTGCAGCGACTTTGGATCTATGGATGGACGCATCACGTAGGGTTTCCAGTTTGTGAGGAAAGGCACTCTAATTTCTCACCGTATCCAGGGTTCCCTAACAATTGCGGATCTGAATGTCAGTACTTCTATTAATTAAGTGTGCTATTCCATATTTTCCTTACTGTTTATTTTGTAGTATTTAGTCATATCCTTTGAATATAGTTAATATGGGATGCTTTGTACTTAATAGGGTACCTTTAAGAGTTTATTGTGGTGATTAGGAATAATATTATTGATTATAGTAAGTATTAAGATGGCATATAGTAGTATAATGAGAAATATTAGTAAATTTATGCTTGTGCAGCCTGCACAAAAAGGGGGAATTGTTGGAGAACGCCTTGCAGAGAGCAAGGCCATAGCTCCCTGCAGAAGTCGGTCCCAGCCACCTGAGGTAAACAAAGGAAAGAACCCAGGGTACAGTTATGTAAACAAGGATGAAGACCCAGGGCTCAGTTGTGCTAACGAGGATTGTTGTGAGAACACAGAGATAAGTTGGGGGCACACTACGACCTTGGGGGGTGAAGAGAAGCAGCACTGGGAGAGAAGCAGGTTTACAGCAAGAAAGATGTTTATGCATACCAGAAATGCCACAAGGGGCTGGTGTATTATAATGTGATCTTTTGAATGTACCCAATGGCTGAGACATTATAATGTAGTTTCTTGAATGTATCCAATAGAGTTGCAAGTAGTGTATTGTAGACTGCTTATATAAGGTGTGATTTCTTTCAATAAAGTTGAAGCTTGCTCTATCATTCACATTGAATCGGCTGCTTGCTTCCTCCGCCCGCCGCACTAAGACAATCTGGGGATTGAAATACGGACTGTGGCAAGTGATACCCCAAACCATGAGAGCCACAGTCTGGGTAAGAGCTTACAGCTATTTTTTTCCTGTGCAAAAGCAAAGACTGACTCAATGCTAACTCACTTGAGCAGAGACTTAACACCAGCTTCTGAGTTGATGGTTTTGACAGGGTGCCCATACAATTACAAGGTGAGAGCATCATTGTTTTTCACCTACAGAGTCTTCTGGATGGTTTTAATAACGAACCTCTAGAAGAGCTTTGTCTTCCTGCTACCAACTCCTCCTACAAGTTATCTATGCAAGGAAAACATTTAATGTCTCCGGTGAAAAGTTTAAGCCCTCCTGAATAGCAGAGAACAAGCAGGAAGAACAGACTCAAGCTCATCAACCTCCAGGCTGTGCCAATGGAATGGAATTGATAAAGCGGAGCTTCAGTATGGATCACCTCCTCCCAGTTCCCTGCAGACACGTAGAAGACACACACGTCTTCAGTAACTGTTTTGGAGCCTGACATTATCTTAGTAACAGCAGCTGGAATTTCTGACAACAAGGTGATCCAAGGTGAAAGCGACCCACTGGGGAGCAAGTTATCAGGGTATCTGGAAAATCTATCCACATTCTTGGATGCACATGGTTTGTGCTGATGGCTTATTTTCTCAACTGTGCTGCCCAACAGACACTGAGAGGGCTGGCTTTCTATAACCTCCACCTCTCCTCATTTAAGAGGAGACAACTGATGAAGTAAATGATCCATCAAAATGAGAATAAATGTCCACCCTCTTGTGAGGGCACAACTGAAGGGGCAGGTCTTTTTCACAGCCACTTGAAAGCTTAGTAACCTTTTGCAAGTATTTTCAAGCCTAACTCAGGCAGAATGTCATTTACTAATGCTGTTCAGGATTGTTACATGAAAAAGCTGAAAATTAATTGTTTAGAACAAAAGCAGAGACGAGAGAGAAAGAATAATGAGAACAACTGCCTCAGTTTACTTTGGAGGCGACAGCACAGCAAATGAAGTATTTGTTTCAATGAATTTTATTTAATTCTGTATTATACAAGTGGGATCTGAATCCCCAAACTTCCCATCATCAACATAATGGAGAAGCACCACTGCACAAAAGGAAGGCAGAATTTTGGAGCCAGAAGACAGGCTAGATCAAGCCATTTCTACCCATGTGGTCAGAAATTCTTCCTCCTTCACACAATGTACTTCCCAGACCAGCAAGTTTACCCCAGGAATAAGAGAGACAAAGCTAGCTCTAAACACTCCCTCCTCCTCCTCCTCTCCCCAACAAAAGAGGCTGCTCAATACCAGTAGTGGAATGGTTAAAGATAGGCAGTACATTAGATTTTCAGTCTCTCAACCAGCCCACTAGATTAAGAAGTGGCCTGGTTACTCCCTCTCTCCTGGAAAAGATCCAGGAAAATCAAAGACCTAAAATGCTGAAGACTTACCTCCTTTCCTTCCCCCATTCCATAGCCTTGTTCTCTAAGCAGAGAGTAGGCAATGAACTTTGAGGAGTTTGAAGGAAAGCCAAGGAAAATCAGGGGCTACCTGAATCCCCGGGAATCTGGTGGCTACCCTGGTGCCCTCATTCATTCCCTTTGAGGTTCAGAGACCTGTTTGGAATAGTACAGAGAGGGCTTCCTTTAGGGTTTTGGAGCAACCAGGGATACAGAACACACAGGAACCGCCGTGAGGGTACACACCATTCCAGGGATGGCCCAAACCACAAAAAGGTAAAGACTCCCCCCAGCCAAGGCCCCAAGGGCTGGGGGAGCTGGGACGAGGCCCTGGCAGGGGGAAGAGAGCTCCTGCAGCAGTACTGAGGGCTCGTGGGATTTTACTTCTTCTTCCTCTCCTGGGAACAGCGAGGGCAGAACCTGGTGGAAAGGGAAGTAAAAAGCCAGCATTTAGGGCGTAACAATGAACCTCAAATATACAGTCCCAAAGGACCTTTTCCAAGGTCCCCAACAAAGCCTTAATTCAAGTTTTCCTTTTTGAGAGGTCTGTACATACAGTACTCTCCCTTTTGCCACCCAGAACCTCCCCTTTCCAAAGACCAATGCGCCTTCCAGACTGCTTGTTCACTCACCATTTTCCTCTTGGTTTTGTTGTCAGACCCACACAGGCAAAATGAAACCATTCAATGGAACACTGTTGGGATGGAGAGCGGTAAGTTAAAGAGCAGTTTTCTTTTGAAATCCCTGCTTCTGGGCTACTGAAGCTTCCCCACATTTGATCACTAACTCCTAAATCCCTAGCAGCAATCAGGGAATGAACTCATGCCCAACCTACACATTGTCATTTTAAGGAAAACTCTGAAGAAAGAGGTCACAGCAAGTCACCCCTCTGCCCTTCCAAACTACCCAAGGCAAGTCCTCTCCTTATCACTGCTTGCTGCATCAGGCCTTGCCCAGGCAGGATAAGACTTTCTGTGCAAGACTCCCCTCTACTCCCTTCTCCCCCATTTCCAGCAAGCTCTTACATCAGGGTTGTCGCAGCCGATCATCTCCCCATAGGAGACCTGGTGGCAGAGGCAGTAAGTAGGCTCATTGGGGTCCACAGGCATATCCAATACATCTGAAGGGTGCACATTTCCAAAGGTGACTGAAGGCATCCCATACTCTGTGCTACTGCAGGACAGGAATAAAGTAGGTCAGCAAAATAAAGTAGGTCAGCCTTCGAGTCCCTTCATGCCTCCCAAGATATGTATCGCTTGTTTGGCAGAGACAGACACTCCTCTATTTTTAAGCACACGCACACAACTCCACTGAAGTGACCTGCCTTCCCCTTCATGTCACGCTCCCCTGAAAGAATTAAAAGGTCTCCTTCTTCTTGCTTCCCAAGGAGGGACAGGGGACACACTGTATAGTCTGATCCTTCACAGGGAAGTCTAGCTAGGCCTCCCTTGGTCTGATTTGTAGTGCTGCTCCTCATTTCCACAAATCTCTCAAATACTTACGTGCGGACAAGCTTCAATTTCTTTTGGGCAGTTTTTGGTGCTTCCTCATCAGAGTTCTTCCCTTTAGAGCGAGCACGGGCAGCTTTCTTCTCTTTCTGGGCTCGGCCCTCTGGTAAGAAGAGAAAGAGGTGTTGCATCTGCCACCCCACCAAAACAGACACCTGACAGCAACAACCTCTCCAGCACTAAAAATACACTCCTACTGTGGAGTGCATATTGGCTTTGGGCCATGCACCCTGTCTTAATTATATCTAGCGGCCTTGAATATGCTCACACAAGAAGCGCCCAGGTCACAATCTTTTTACCTGTCCTTCAGATTCCAGCGTAACAGTCTGTACCACTCCAGTGCCTGCCTTCATCCCCACCACTTCCATAGTCACTTGGCTGCCTCCTGTATCAATCTGCAGCCCAGTGGTGGTACTCACTCTTCTTGCCCTTGCTGGAAGAACTGTCATAGTCACTCGACTCTATCTGCTTCTCCTTCAGGTCTGCTTCAAAGCGAGCGAGGTCTGTGTCCAGCCGCCGGATGTGCTTATCAACCTGCAAAGGTGACAGGGACCAGGAGTCATAAAGAACAGAGCCCAGGGGCAGACAGGAGCAGGCTTGCATTAAGAGCTGGGAAGCAAGAGTGGGGAGGGCCTAAAAAGAGAGATCAGAGCCTCCCAAGACTGGGGGCTTTAGTACAGCTTTTCATACGATAAGCACTAAGACACTTCCCTTCATACCATCTCGTAGGTCTGCATAGCCAGCTGGACCTTGTCGTCCCCAAACTCCTTGCATTTCCCATAGGCCTCCTGGATTTGCTTGAGAAGCCCCAGTTTTTCCTCCGAAGACAAAGTCCGTGCATTGCTGATATACTCTGTGGCCAACTTATCGATCTCTGACTTGAGGTCTGAAACAAGTTTACCATTAAATATGTAAATACACATACACACACACTACAGTGCCTTGCTCTAAGAGATGGCAGGATCAGAGCAGAGCTTCCTCCCCTGCCCTGAGATCCCCATCATAAAGGCAAAGGAAAGAAAAGCTGGTCAAGCTGCATACATCCTGACTCCTCAACAAAACCACCTTTAATCCTCACCTTCTGTCCTCTGATCCAGATCTCGCATAAGCTGGAAGTTTCTCTGCAATTCAAACGGCAGGTTCTCAATACCTGCAGGGAAAGGAGGGTACATAGAGAAGTCAGGTTCCTGTCCACGATGCCAAGGCAGAAACAAAGCTAAATGATGACACCACTCCCGTGATACCCAGTGCCCTTTCTTGGTGCACATCAGCATGCTTCCATTTGTTGTCAACTCCAAAGGAGACAAAACTATAAAAATATGATATATTTAATCCAGGAGCATAGTTCTGTAATACACACTAGTTAACAGAAAACTGCTGCCATGCAGAAATGCCTACATTAAGAAAGCAGAAAACCAAAATTTGTAATGAAGTGAGTCATTATAATACAACATATTCATTCAAGTACTCCATTAATTAATGAAAAAAATAGTACAACAGCTGGTAAATAATGCCATCTAGGTATTTCTATAACAGGATGTAAAAATTTAAGTTGATCAAATGCTAATTCACTGAAAAGTGAGTCCATCTTAACGCATCTATTTTACATGTAGGGGACAGGCGACACTTTGTGCAGAGCCAGAAAGCAAGTCTTAGACAGGAATGGAAGCAGTGAACATCAGTCTTAAACCCCCATCATCACACGTTTCTTGTTCTGTCTTCTGCACCATAATCTCAGTGTGGTCTGTCCAACACCTGGAAGGATGCTATACTTCATGAATAATAAATACTTGTAGGGCTCTGAATGAGCAATGTGAAATTGATAGTCAATTAATTTTCAATGCACTATGCTACTCACCCCCTAGGCATCACCAGATGCTCAACTGACAAAGCCGATAAAAATAATTCTCATTTTTCCATGCCTGTCTAATCAAACTGAGATCTAGTGTCACTGCATTAACCTGAAGTCCAAGCTTGACTGTTCTCACCTTCATATCTAACAAAAAAAAAAAATAAATCTCTCTTGCAGGTTAAAAAAAAAAAAAAAGAAAGAAAAAGGTGGGGGGAAAAGCTATTCAGAAACACAACATAAGTATGTCTGCTTCCTGAACCCACTCCCCAACACATAGGGAGTGTAAATAAAGGTGTGCCTACCCATCATCAAAACTGTCTAATACATCCGTCCCAGCAGCAGTCTTTATTTTCGCTCCCACATGTTTCTACAGCAGAGACACTTTCCTGAAAAGCAATCAGCCAGTAGAGAAGGTCTGTATGCAAGAGGCACATTTTAACAAGTACTACACACGGGCCATGAAATTAATTCCTGTAAGAAATAAAAACAACTGTGGGCCTCACTGTGCTCAGAAGCTTTAACTTATTTTTTTGCAGAGTATATACAGTAAGTTACATACAGAATCCTCATAAGTAAGCATGTTATTGCTTCAATAAATTTACATTGATATTTCTAATTAAAGTATTGAGAAATGCTCAGATAGTAGGTGTCCTTAAGCACCCAGATACATAATCACACAGCACATACACATCACCCTCCTGCACTCAACGATAGTTAACACTGCAACATCAAATTCTCAAAAAATTAGTAAGCAGTAAAATTAAGGCTATCTGCACATTCCTAAATTTGATACTTCCATGATAGTCCAACATGTCAGACTACGCACAAGGTTCAAGGAGACGACTACCAAATTACATCGCTATGGCTCAAAAAAGCATCTTGGAAGACAACAGGGACACAATCCTGAAAATTATCATTGCTTACAACAGGAGCTTATGGCAGGGATCAAATCCAGCTTGGGAATCTCAAGACCAAGCCTTTTTCTTTCCTGCAATCCCCAGACTCATCAACTCCAAACCTTTCAATTTATACAGCAAATGAAACCTGGGTCATGCTGCAGCATGCTGCTTTTCACTCCTTTCCAAAGCATCCCCTACAGAAGACAAGACAGGTATCCTCTAGAGGAAAACAGTATCTGTTCTTGCACTGCACACAATATGTCAAATTTACAGCAAGTTTATTAGTCCTGGAAGATCATGACTTCTAAATTCTTGACTTTGTAGTTTTTAAAAAAGATTAATGCAATTTCTTTTTCTCTTCTAGAAAGGAAAGTAAAAGCACAAATTCCACCGCATACAGTCAGTTTTCCCTCAGCAGGGCTAGAAACCTTTAGATAGAGTGAGCACCTAGGCTAGCACAAAGAAACAGTGGGATGCTATTCTCTGGGCAGAACAACCCTACATGAGCTTACAGCCATGTTTCACAGCAATATCCTCACAGCAGGAGAAACTCAGGCAGGAGTCTGCTTCTGTTACAGAACCTGAAAGGGACTGTGCTTTATTTTTTACAGCTGTTACTGTAAAAATCTGCCACTACCATTGACGCCAGCACATGCCCTCGCCTGGAAAACCTCTGTCTTCCCTCTGCCTCTAATGTGCTCGGTCTGGTCTTTTCAGCCCGTGCCATCCATCCTTTGGAGACTCTCTTCCCAGCACCGCCTCCCCTCGCTGCCAGCCCTGCACAGCCCGGCCAGGGCCTCCCCTGCCTTGTTCCCTGCCTTGTTTCTTGCCTCGGTCCCTGCTTCCAGGCGTGCAGAGCACCTAGCTCCCAGCAGCTCCCGGCAGCGTGGAGAGGGGCATCATCCAGTGCTGGCTCTGGCCAAGGCAGACACTCACGCTCAGCACAGACCCAGTTGGCGGATCATTTACCAGTCAAGCACGTAGAAGCAATGATCTTCCAGAGGCTCATTAGCTGGGCAGGTTTCCACGGGGACTGATGAGGCAAACCCCTGTCATTTGAATTCCTTCCCTGCTAAAATCAGCAAAATGATTTTATAAAACTCCGGTAAAATGTTTCACTCTGCAAATCTATTATCGGACCCACATTCTGCAATTGCTTCGTCAATAAACTGGGAGAAAATGAAACAAGTAACAGTACAGTGACTTTATAATCAGAACTGTTATAAAGATGCTTTATCTATCCAACTGAAAGTGGAAAGAAGCTTTAGAAATTAAGATCCAGAGAGTTCGGCAAGAACAAAAAGCATAACAAGACAAAGCTGCAGCTAAGCAAGTTTTAACTGAGCAACAAACTCTTATAGTTTGTATGTATATAGGTTCATCTAACTACAGGGAAGTTTTCTGTCTGCCGCTTAACTCAAAAGCATCACAGAATTTATCAGAGGTCAGTATACTTGCTGAAATTGCCTGGCCTGTGCCATGCTGGCTATCAGACACCACCCTAAAAGTCCCATTAAAAAAAAAAACCCACACCTAAGATTTAAGTTTTATTTCCTCATTCCTACTAACACAACACACTTCAGTCCTTCTAAAAACATTCATGTTACTTTGTTTCCTCCTGAATGACTCCTTTCCATTTGCTCTTTCTTCTTATTGTAAAATACACCTAAACTTTTTGTGACTAAACAACTGTAAAATACCCAAATAATTCTCAGATTCTGGAATGGATCAGTGTAAAGAAAAAACACCCTAGAGGCATCCTTGATCACTTGAGAAGAGGGGGCAGAGAAGGGCAGTCACTCTGTCCCAGACAGGCAACAATCTGACAGAAAAACAAAAGCAAGGGCCTCTTTCAACACAAATGGCATAGCTGCAAGAGTGGAAGAGGAGGGTGGAGATGTGCAGTGAATACAGTGCTTGCAATGCCAGCAGCTTTGCCCAAAGCACGGGCTGGCATTAATGCAACCGTGTTAATCTGCCTAGATCCACACAGAGCCACATGCAGCCCCACTGTACCCCACTCATTCCTGTCACAGTACGATTACCCTGAAAATCATCATTGCAAGTCTCTCATTGAGTTTTTCCCACCCCTTTGTTTTCTCACTTTAATTTCCTATCACAAGTTAAAAAAAGTCTCTCTACCTACCTTCATCTTTCCTTTCCTCAACTCCTACTCCTTCACTACTCCCATTCTTCGTTTGTTTGTTATTCTCCTCTTTCCTTGTCATTCCTTACCTCATTCATTCATCTGCAGGCATCCATGACCCTGCTGTCTTGTCGCTAAAGAACCATGCACTCTCACTCTCCACAAGTCAGGATCCATCAAGACCCTCCTTCCCCTTCAATTATTACTATTTATTTTTTAGAAACACATGTGGGGTGTCAAGTGTAGGCAACTGATATTTAAATTTCAGCTGCTTAACTCTGATGTTAACTCTGATATAGACACACAGAGTGCAAGCCTACACAACCCAACAACTTTCACTATGCTTCAGTCCTCCAGAGCACGTCTTTTAACTGTGCGAAACAATGGGTTTGGACTGTGACAATGTCCAAACTCCTAAACAGATCCATTGCACCAAGCACTACACAAATACACGGTCCCTCTCCTGAGACATATGTTCACCCATTATGTTCAGATGCATGTTTCAATTTATTAAAAAATGTGAAAATAAATTTTGAAACATAACCACAGTTGCTTTATTGAACAGTACAGATTTCAGCAAACAGTTTAAACACATTGCTGAAGATAATTTAAAAAATCCTGCTTGTGCCAGGGACTGCCACAAGGAGAGGGTAAGTTCTTTGCCTCCTGAGATAGGAAATTGGCTGGTATCTTGTGGGGGAAGCACACAGGACTTTTCAGTACTCCATGATTCTCATAATTTTGTAGCATTTTAAGTACACTGCAGGACAACTGGCTTATAGCAATTTTCAGAAGCTTCCTTGCTTCACAGAATCATCTACATTGGAAACAACATTGAAGATCATCTAGTTCAACCATTAATCTAACATTGACAGTTCTCAACTATACAATATCCTTAAGGATTCCTCATTAGCGGGAAGATACCTTGCATATCCCTCCATCCCTCTTTTTAGAGGGTATAATCCTTTTAAACTGCTGCTTCTACTCTGTCCTGCACTCTCAGCTAATTATTTATCTTTCCACACAATTTATTGAAATTGGTGGATGTGTATAATATATACCTTTCTCTCTATGCATATATGACTCAGCCCTACTGCAATATAGGCATCCTAACCTGTAACATACTCTCAACAGCTCTGTAAGGGATAATACTACCTACATTCCTACAAACAGGGTACCTGGGTGCATAGTAAACTGCGCAGGCACCCAGGAATTATGTGACCATGGCATACACCCCAAGCTCGGGGCCAGTGCACTGCACACCAGTCCACCCAAGCACATCTACTTCAGGCACTGCCCAAAGAAACAGATTATCAGTCAATGTAACAGCCACAGAAACCTAGTACTCCCCAAAGAGTGAACCCTTTTCTCAGGCTCTTTTTGTCTCTTTCTTATTGCATTAATTCAATGCTACAGCATCCACAGCCAAGATAGTAGGTGATGTTGTTAAGTATTAGAAAAGGGATCTTTATCACTGTGTTAAAAGATCAACCTTGATTTCAGAAGCTTGGAAGACTAACATGTCAAATTAGACTTGCACCACTCCAGGCATTTCCAGCCCGTCACAGATCTCCAAAGGCAGAACCACCACCAAGGAGATCATAGGGCTACCTGACAAAACGGTCAGATCAGACTTGCTGTTGGGTAAGTGAAGAAATGCAGAGAAAATGCAGTATGCTTTGTCATGTAATGCCATCTTCTATCAACGCTGATTAAAATACTAATCAGCAACCAAGTTTAAATGAACTGGTCATTAACAATTATAAATGTATTAGCTTAGTGGGGGCTGTGCCAGCATCTTTCACAGACAAATGATGCCTATGAATCACAAAAATCTCTCCCCTGCATGAGATCTTTTGTAATTTTCCAGAGATCATGTGTGCTGCATCACAGATGCAACTAATCCAGTCTCAGTAAGGTGAAAGGCATCTTTCACTCCACTAAAGCAGTGTTAAATATAGAAACAATTTATTAAGAGATTTGCATATCTGAAGTATGATGTGAGAAACTTGAGAGGCAAGAACAGGAGGGTATGGCTGCATGCTCCATTGGGGAGGGGTCAGAATAATGACTGTAGGTGCAGTGAGAACTCTGGGGAATGTGGAACACAGCCAAGCCTGGGAAGGAACTGAGGGCTAGCCACAGCTAGTTCTGACATCACACATATGCCCTCCAAGAGTATTAAGATGACAATTACACATCATACCCTCATTTGATGAAGTTATACAGAGGAAAATCCAGACAGATGTAGCTGAATAATCGTATTTTACTAGCTAATGTTATCAAGGAATGAAAGGACATTCCCATGTCAGTTGCTGAAGAAAGATGACTTTCAAGAGGGTGTATGCTGCTTCTGTTGCTCTGTGCTTATGCTGCCATTAAGTTTTCCAGTATTGACAAACCCTGAACTGGTGCAATTCTATGTGCCTATTGACATATGCAAATAGAAGGAGCAAAGAAAACTTAATGCTTCCCTAATCAGTACAAAAAAGGGGAAAAACCCCAAACAACTACACAGTACCATGTTAACTTACCAGCTGAGGACTCCTCATCTAAATCTGCTGTCTCCATCATCCTCTTCACTGAGGCAGATAAGTCCTAGTGTCAGCTCCTGGAACGGGTCCTGACTGGTGGCCTCCAAGACAACGGAATTAATATCAAGCAGCCATCTGAGTAGACAGGCCAGCAACATTTCTCTACCTCTCAAGATCACCAAGGCTACTAGCCCTCTGCTGATGACTCTCCCAAGCCTTTAGGTCTAATTCAGATTCAAAATGTTGGCAGAATCTAGGTCCTCAAAGGTTTGGGGTGGGGGAAGATGGAAACACTTTTTATTGTTTTGTTACCATTCCTTATCAACATTTTATGCTGACATTTATTCAGTAATTTATTCAAATTCAGGAAATTTGAACTTCCTTCCAGTCTGGCACACACTTCCCAAGTGGAACAACGCATGCTCCCTGTTCAGCAAGGCAAATAAAGCAACAGCTTCATCAGCAGGAATATATGTGGTGGACACATGGCTGGAACCATCAGGGAAGGTGTTGTTTTATTGCTTCAGGAAGCATACCCACAAACACAACCTTTCCATTCACCTCAGCTGTGTTAGCAACTGCACAGATGCCTCCTCAGCAGTTCAACACAGGTAGGTGAGCAGAGAAGGCATTTCAAAATAAATTCAGGCACCAGAGAGGTGAGGAGAGGTACATGCCTTGGTTCTGTTGCCATAAAAGATAAATCTGTGTTTTGTCACTAAATAGGCTTACTTTATTCCAATACCCACTAGGTGGGTAAACAGGGAAGCACTGATGGTAGAAAATACATGCAGTTGTACAGCAGTTCCCTCTACTATAAAGACAATCCCTACACTCATGGCACATTCACATATAAACAGACTTGTAGAAAACTATCTGGGACTGTTTTCGGAATAAGTGTACTTCAACAATGCCCATTATAAAGAAGCTCTGCAATCCTCCCAAAAATTCCAAATGTGAAGAAAACTCAGCATTTGCATCCCATCTTCTAGAAAATCTGTATTAGTCACCCTTCTTTTCTCCCCCTCAAAGCCTCCACTATAGTATTTCTAATCTAGTACGAGAGCAGATAGTGAGCCAAGCACACTAACTCAAGTTTGAGCAAGCACAAACTCCTCTAATGAATCGTCATGCACATTCAATCTTCTCATCACAAAACACTGTTTTCTTCCTCCTTATTCTTCTTCCATTCATTTCTACACCTCTAACTCCTTTGTACCCATAGTTTTTCCCCTACTAAATCTGCACTGCTTTCTTGGTGTGAGGGAAAGCACTTCAGAACCTTCCTTTCTCCTCTCAGAAGCAGTCGCAAAATGGTTTAGAGACCACAAAAACAATATTTGAAGAGATGGAAATCTCTTCATGCTTAACTTCAGCCACTGAAGAGAACTGAGGAAAGAGCCATGCTCAAATAAAAACACCTGGGAAGAAGAGATCTGGAGCAAGAAACATTCATTCCTCTTCTTCCTCCTCCCTGAATCCTTTGGCTCAGTACAGTCATTGAAGGGGCAGCTTCAGTAGGATGAAGGAAGGAAGGTGATCAGAGCAGACAAGATACAGAGTTCCTCTGTCAGGATGTTCAGCACAGCAGGAATGTGCATATTTTTCTGCTGCAAAAACATCTGCTAGGAGCATAACACATTTCAGACAGATATGCTTTGCAATTAACAGTTTAAGAGCAAAGGCAAGGGCATGTCTAATCCTAGGTCTAAACCCAGTTTCAAATTACAGCAAGGACTTGAAAGCTACTGAAATACCAGACCTAGGAAGCTGGCAGACACCTTGATAACTTGGCTGTTCCACAAAAATCTCCTGGAAAAGAACTTCAGATGTCCAAATGAGAGGACTCAAAATTTATGAACTGAAACAACTGAGGCTGTATGTATAGCTCTGCCAGACTGCTCGTGCATTTTAAAATGCAGTTTTTAATTACCTAACCGCATGACATTTTCATATGAGGCAGTTATTCCTAGTGACTGAGCAGTGATTCAAAGGTGGTTTTTTTTTTTCCTCTTTGCTCAATACAGAGTCACACATACACGACCTAAAACCCAATACGAAAACTGAATTGGCAATCAGCTTTTCAAGGTGTTCGTTATGTGACATTATAATGCTTTTTCACAATGTTGCTGTGGAGCAGCCCACTTTCCTTAACAATAAAATGAAGGTCAAGAGATTTACTGAGGCAGAAAGATTAAAGCCAAGAAGGCCAGGTCATTACAAACACACCTCTTGAAATGTCTAAAAATGCTACACAGTCTGACTTTTCAGAATTATCTGTTCAAAGAAGACTTCAGTTGCAGCTGACTACACATTTTCACTCATAATATGAGGGAAACACAAGCCATGCAAGGAGAACCTGTAAAAAGTGTGACCCCCAAAATAAACACAAACATCAAACTCACTTTGTCAGAGTGGTATTCAACTGCCTCAGAGATAGGCCACTTTTTTCTTCTTACAATGTTCACTTAATTCATTATACGCCTTCCCTTTCTTCAAGGATATGAAGAGGTCCTACAAACAACTGCCCTCTTTCATCACACACTCCTCATTCATTCCCTGAGCAGATCCAGCCAGTAAACCATATGAAAGAGAATCTCTGTGGGAGGAAAAAAAATTCAACCGAAAACTGTGTATGCATTAGCACTAAAATACTAAAAGAATTCCATTCCAAGATATAAATATTAGACATTTTTAGAAGAGCTGACCAAGGGTTCTGGCCTATTTGTATCTATTTTCAGGAAGTTTTGAAACATTAGTGAACGCCATCAAAACTGAACTCAATCTTTAAAAATACTTAAATAATTAAAAAAAAAAAAAGAAAAAGGAAGGAAGGAGAAAGGAGGAGCAAGGGGGAAACTGAATGTTGGCAGGGAGGTATGAAAAGAAACGGAACAGCTGATCTGAGATCATCTCAAAAGAATTAAACAAGGATGAAAATATAGATTAAATGTTAAACTTGCCTAACTGGACATTTTTGATAAGAGTACATATTTCATTAGCAAAAATAATTTTCTGAAGTGATTAAATTACAACTCGCGTCAAATACTTGATGTAGTACCAGAAAGTATCTTACATAACAAGCTAGAATAAGAAACAAACCAAACATAAGATCTATTAAAAGTACTTTAAACAGCTACATCAGGCTTTAGAATGCATTATAGAGAACTGTAAGCTGTGGCTGTACCACTAGTGCAAATTACACAGAAGCAGTTCTTGATCCACCAAAAGAAAAGTTACCCACTTGGAAGTGAGATGCAGACTGGAAGAATGAGAATGGAAGGAACAGACCACTGGGACAGCAAAAGACAGCTCGTCTGCAAACAGATTACTTTCCATCAAGTCTTACGGAGGGTAGTACATTTAGGAATGAGCAGTATCAGCGATGGATAAAAGGAGGCTGGACTGTATTGTTCAGAAAGACTGTATCGTATCAATATAATGGTAGATAGTTACCTGAATATGAGCTCCCAGCTGAAATGCAATGGTGAACAGGGATAAGGGCGTACCAAACAGAATGATAACCTGACTTCTTTTGTTAGTACCATGAAGAACACTGGTTACTAAAGGACTGTATGCATTTTCATAGAGTCTGAAGTTCAAGTAGGATGTTAAAAGATTAGAGCAGGCTTGGAGAACAACAATATGGGTAATTAGAAAACTGAAAAATATGTTATCACTGGTCATTTATTTTTCTAAGTTATCAGAAAGAAGGCTAAGATTTAATCAATTACAATCTACACAAGGAAGAAATTTTTAATAAGGGGACACTTCAACATGGAAGGTGAAAGGTGTTACAGGTGCAATGACTAATATTGGAACTGTGAAAAGTAACTACAGACAAAAGTCACAAATCCATGACAGCAACACCTATCAGTAAACTAACTTACTGAAGACTGAGATGGATACTCTTTGACTGTAAGTATTACAACTCATATGATGTGCTTTTCTGAAAGAAACTCTAGATTAAGAACAGCAACTGTCCTACAATTAGCTATAAAAGAGAAATGATATGTCCTGTATAGTATATGCGACCAGACAAAATTGAAAAAGGCCTTAAGAGCAAAAAGGGCTAAACCATCACAGTTAAGATTGCTTTGTTCTTCCTAACATCTCTGCAGCCAGATTTTTTTAAAGTATTTTTAGATTGTACACGTTATTTTTTTTTAAACAAGACACCACCATATAAATATCTACCTTCACAGGACGAGAATCTCTACTTCAATTGCAGGACCACACATCTCAGCTGAGAGAGAAAATAAGAGTCTGTCATTTTCTCTGCATGCTTGTACTAAAGGGGAACAGGAGTTTCCAGCGGGTTCACTGATTTTAGCTGACGGTGACAACGAGATCCAGCAGTGTTTGACTTTGGTGGGAGCACTCTAGCCATCAAGCTCAGCGACAGCTTCCTTTCTCTCCAACCTCGTATCTACCATGCCTCTCCACCAGTGCTGTATCTTTCTCATCTCTGCCTACTATCTGCAAATCAAAGTCTTTCACTCCTTTACCTTTGCACTGCAGTTCTTACTCAAAATACACTTGTGCTCTCCCAGCAGGAAAAACCTGCATCCTCCCCATACACTTACTCCTTGTCCATCTGCTTCTTTCTCCTCCAGCCCCCATCCTCCCAGCTCCTGGCCATCTTTGCTGAGAAGCCTGTCAACTGCATTCTTTCACAACAGAATGAGAAGAGCAGAAAAACATACATCTTTGCTCAGCCAATCCTTGCTCCTCTCTAACAATCTGTCTCCTCACTCAACTCTTCTTCCTGGCTTTTGCATCCTCCTTCCTTGCAGCTCCTAGATTGCCTGCTTGCTTCCAGCTTATTTTCAGCTTTCAGCAAAATTTGTTATGGTTCTTGAATTTTCTTAATTCACAAGAGGTTTCCTTTCCTAATGACAAAAGTAGTACTGCAGACACAACGAATGAGACCCTTTGTCTCCATATCAACACAGTATCTACTTTGTACTGGAGGAAACCTACTGTAGCAAAATTTCTGAATAATCAAGCTCCAAAGTTTCCAAGCATATGCAATCAGGTAGCACGAGATTTAACTTAGCCAGGTATAGTGAAGTAAAAGACGTGTGACCAGAACTACCACGCTTTAAACACACCACCCCATCACCAATGCTCCCCTGTTTCTAATGTTGACACCAGATCAAAAAGAAAACATGAACAGAGCATTAATCAAAGAACAGGTTACTAAATCTTAACTCATTCGCACATTCCTTCAAAACAACTCCTCTGCTTAGTCTAGCTGACTATTTTAAGAACACGGGAGTAAAACACGCATTGAAAGTCATCCCCCAAAGGGGCAGAGTCCAACAAAGTTATAAGCACCTTAAAGCAGGATGGTATCATAGGAGGGCTCAGATAACGTTACCAACTCCATTAGTATTTACAGAGCGCTTCTTGGACCAGCGAAACAGGACTGCATTTGTAAGACGACAGCGAAGGAATCTACCGAAACGACCTTCCTACAGCTACAAAAGTTATCTTCGGCTTGATTCCCCCAGCCCTGCAGTTAATCCCGGGAAAGCCCCTGACAGCCGAGCTGCCGCTCCCGAAAGGCGGCTGGCGAGGCGCCGGACTCCTTCCTCCGGGGCCAAACCAAGCGCTGTCCGCTGCCGGACCGCAGAGGGGCCGGGCTGCCGCAAGAGCCCCAGCCGAGCCCTGCCCCACGGCGGAGGAGCAGCCGGT